ATGTGACACCCAAACTTGGAACTTATGCCTGGCTTCTTGATGAGCTTCACGTACATGTACGTCCCACCCACAATACACTTTATGCTTTTTATTTCTCATCTTTTGTTTAGTCTGAATAGCGGCGTTTCTTATAGTGTTAATTATCTGATAATATAAATCATCGAGAATAACCCTATGACTGACCGACGCGCATGATCCATGGCTGCAGCCCACAAACTCTGGAGGGAAATCAATATCCCGCAGGCCCTCGTGACATAAATTACGGTACCTGTTTATCTGGTTCACATCTCTTTCCCCCCAAACCACTGCACTGCACTGCTCACCTTGAAACATCCGCTTAGGGCTCACTATAAATAAGTTACACTCTATGTAAATAGGCAGATGATCCGATATAAAAACATCCTCTATAGTTCCTACCTTAGTAATAGTTTTCCAAGCCGAGAGGGAGACCACAATGTGATCCAGCCAGGACCTTGTTTTATGGTATGGATCAATGTACGTATATGTGTCTGACGCAAGAGTTTTTTGTGTTCAATTGTGAAAGTAGGACAGTTTCACAACTGAACACATTTACCCAATAGGGTAAACTCGATCACCTATTTCAACGCACACAATCATTGAAATCGTTGTTTAGAAGTCGTTTAATAAACTGTGTAACTTAATCTTCTAGAACCAGAAATCATGGGCGTACCCAGGTAGGGGCAGCTGCCCCCCTCCCCCCCCCCCCCCCAGAAGATAAAATAAACGTCAATTTTCCTGGCAAGTGGGAATTAAAAACGTGTTACCTACTCTGCGCAAAATGAAGTGTTGGAAACAAAACATCTTTTCAGTCAGATATTTTGATTTTTTTTATCTATAATTAAATATTCTACAACATTCGATATAATAGCGACGCAATATAATTTATATCTTCCGCGAAACCGTCGTATCTCGTAGTTTCTGCTCCCGACGAGATAATCAGAGCCATCTAGGATTAAAGCCGAATATAATTTGGAGAAAACAACGTCTAGCGCTAGCGCTATCTAATTACGGACGACGACACTCGACAGTGCTTTTTCCAGTAAAGAAGAGCGTTCTAGCATGGACTATTCTGGAAAGTAAAGACAGTGATAGCGAGTATGAGACAAGGATGGCAACAGAAGCGAGTATTTTCTACGTATTTCGGGAGCGAGAATATTTGAATATATAAGCGCGATCGTGAGGCAGAGCAAGGCAATTCAGTTCGAAATTTCGAATACAATTCAATTTAGTTCGGAGTTTAATAGGAGCGAATATTTAATGCGCCATAATAGTGTCTTATAGTTTAGTTGCGGCGACACGAGATTTACGTTTACTGCGCAACAACTGGAAAGATTTACTCCGTCAAATGGATATCAGGAATTTCTTTGAAAAAGGTGAGTCAAAACAAAACACATATGTATGTACCTAATATGATTATTTGATTTGTTTAAGGGGGTATCTTGTAAGTGTATAGGAAGTAATTGATATTTGAATGTGATGTTTTTATAGGTATCTTAATCTTTATTTATTACCACGTTTTTATTAGGTCCGTTTCTTGTCTGTTTGTTTGTCGGTACAAATCTGGCAATTGATTTTAAACTAACTTCCCGATCTCCAGATAAGCTAGGGACTTGAAATTTTGACTGTAGGCCAGAAGTGGATGACAATACAATATTAGATTGTTTTCTTGTCTATTTGTCTAACCGGTACAAATCTTTCAATTGATTTTAAACTAACTTCCCGATGAGCTAGAGACTTGAAATTTTGACTGTAGGTCAGAAGTGGATGACAATACAATATTAGATTGTTTTCTTATCAGTCTGTTTGTTAGCTTGTTTGTTTGTTTGAAAGATTAAAAAAAATACATTTTTTATGACTAAAAAGCTGTTTTTTTTTAAATATACTTACCACGTTTTTAAAACGGACTAAAAATATAACGAAAAACGTGGGGTGCAAGAAAAAAATAAGATAGGTAATGATAAAAAGTGTAAAAAGTACCAGTCGTTGAGAAATCTCATGTTAGAAGAGCTTTCTCATTGACTGCTACTTTTTATGCTTAATTATAATTTGAAATGCTTAGATCAATTTATACGGGCATTAGAAAATTATTTTATACTGTTTAGTCCGCTTTAAAATCGTGGTACATAATTTTTTTTTCGTTCTATGCCTAAACACCGTAAGAGTAATTATGTTTGTGTATCCTTTTTTTAGGGACAACACGGGAAAAAAGAAAAAAAGGTCGGGATAGTAGCAGTGGAGGAAGCGATGAAAATGACAACCATGATAAAACCCATGAAATGCCAAGATCATTGCATGCTAACATTGGACAAGCGTCACATTCTCCAGCAGAACCTGTAAATATATCTGTTGCCGATTATTCTTCTCCAGCGACATCCCAGCAAACTTATGACGTCAACGTCGATCCTGAAATTATAGTGGACGATGGCTATCATGAAAATGATCTGGGTCGTTATGTTGGGTTGGCTACTCAGCTATCGACGGAAAAGAAAAGGGAATTGTTACAACATCCTTGGATCCCGCCCAGAAATTATGAATTTAAAAGTGATGCAAGCCATTTGAAAAGGAAATTTAATAATGCTTGGTTGGATCAATATGCACCATGGCTAGTATATTCCAAGCGACTAAAAGGCGTCCTCCCATCCGCCCATCAGCACAGTGAGAGGAATTTTGGGATCATTTATGGTCAGGCCATATATAAAGTTCAAAAATATGCATGAAGACTGCCGAAAGCATGCAACGACCAACCTACCTAACAGCGACAAATGCTGCAAAAATTTTTCTTGAAAATGTTCCTGTAGACATCCAACTGCAAAGTGGACACCAAAAAGCAATCGATGAAAACAGACAAATATTGTCATCAGTTATTTCTTGTGTAGTATTTTGCGGTACACATGATGTGCCTCTTAGGGGAAAACAAGCAGATGAGGGCGTTTTATTAGATTTATTAAAGTTGAGAATCAATTCAGGGGACGACAAATTAAAGAGTCACCTGGAAAAGTGCCGTCGTCGCAATGCAGTTTACACATCCCCAAAAATACAAAACGAATTGATTAATTTATGTGGCGAAGTTATTATGGAGAATATAATAAGTGAGGTTCAGAAGACCATGGCTTACGCAGTCTTAGCTGATGAAACAGCAGACGTAGCTGGGAAAGAACAGCTATCAATAGGCGTGCGGTTCTACGACGAAAGCAAAAGGAAAACTAAAAGCACAAAATGCTTCAACAATTGCCGAAGCATTTGACAATTTCTTGATTAATTCTAACCTCCCAACAGAAGATTGCGTAGGGTTTGGATTCGATGGCTGTTCTACAATGGCAGGGAAAGAGGGTGGCGTACAAGCCATTTTGAGAAAAAAATTTCCTCGTTCTTTATATTTTCATTGCTCAAGTCACATACTCAACCTTGTTGTGAATGATGCGAACGCAGTGCCAGAAATTAGAAATACTGTCGCCACTGTTAAGGATATTATAACGTTTTTCAGAGAATCGACTACTCGTCGAAACTACGCTCCAAACCTATCACGATTGTGTGAGACGAGATGGTCCGAAAAATATGAATCAATCAGAAAATTTTCTCAACATTTTTCAGAGCTCGTGAAATCTCTAGAAACGTTATCCGTAGAGTGAAATTATACCACCAGAAAATCTGCATATCAGTTGCATTCAGCCGTTACAAAACCAGTGTTTATTGTTGCTCTACAAACAATAGCCAAATATTCAGCAGTTTTAGAACCAGTAGTTAACGCACTGCAAGCTAAATCGATCGACATGATCTCGGTGGGGGAACACATCAAAAATATCAAGGACATTCTCAGAAATGACCGCGAGTTTCCTGATAAAATAAGTAATGAAATGCTTCAAAAAGCGCGAGCTGTTGCAATGGATTTGAACATAGAAATTTCGGTTCCACGTCTTGCTCATAAGCAAACACATAGAAGTAATCCGCCATCTGACAATGATAACGAATATTGGCGGCGTTCTCTGATAATACCATACATTGATTCACTGATTTCATCGTTGAATATTCGATTCTCCCAAGAAAATACTCCGGCGTTTGCTTTAAGTAAGCTCCATCCCTTGTATATGACCAAAACAAACATTACAGACTTACACAAGAACGCAGAATCGTTCCAAGAATTTTATAACCTGGATATCACTGGAGAACTGAACCTTTAGCATAATTTATGGATGAAGATTGCTTTATCAGATGATCAATTAAGGGATATAGAAGTAGTTGATCTGTTCAACGAAGCCAATATTTTTTACCCTGCTCAGAAAGGCATTGATTATTTTAAGCACTATCCCATGCACCACGGCGACCGTAGAACGGTCCTTCAGTACGCTTCGAAGAGTTAAACCGTGGCTTAGAAGCACCATGGGTGAAGAAAGGCTTACGGGTTTATGTCTGATGAGCGTACATCGCATTATTTAAAAGAAAACATTGAGTTTATTCAAAAGACTGTCTTAGACAAATTTTCGGCGGCAAATCCGAGAAGATTACTTTTAAATTAATATACATGTAATAAGATTATTATATATATTTAATATTTTGTTTTGTGTCACAGTCAAACTAATTATTAAAAGTAAATTTTCATGATTTTTTGTTTCAATATACCCGACCGACCATCTTTCTCGAAACAGGTATGAGCTACCCCCTCCTAGCTGAAATCCTGGGTACGCCCTTGCCAGAAATAGTATGCACTCGCGGAGTATCACCGGAGTGGATGCGTGGTCAGTACAAACGGGGCGCTACGATCACACTCATAATAAGGATCTTGGTCTTGGGGTGTGTGATCGTTGTTCGAGTCTGTGGTTTGGTACATACCTTGTTCCCGATATTTCGGCAATGTTGCAAGTGCCATAACCGATCATGCAGTAAAAATACATGGTACTGATGGTAGCAAATCCGTTAATTATAGAAATTATTATAATGCTAGATAGAGACCACCATGGATTTATACTATAAATTATACCTACTTTACTAATTACTGTAACACTAGCGCCAAAGTCTGCTAAAATAGCTCCACAAAATGGTCCCGGGGCTAATCCTTGAAATTCGATGACTTTAATTCCTTTGAGCGCCATATCAACGAGACTGAAATGAGTAAAATATACAATTTAAGCTTAGCTAATTTTATTTTCAATTCAATATAATACTCTAATAGCTAAGCACTATTTTTATCAGAATTTCAGAACACTACTAGCTTTAGGGTACGGCCAGAGTGCACTCAGATTCAGATTCCAAAAACAAGCGCGAGAAATAAACAGTGCAGTTAAAGCAGGGTGGCCATAATGGCCGCAGGCAACCTGCTTAAACTACACTGTATATTTCTCGCGCTTGTTTTCTGAGTCTGACTCTGAATCTGAGTGCACTCTGGCCGTACCTTACACGACTTATTACTCCAAGGAACATGTAATTCTAAAAATATTTAAACAGATAATTTTTAATTCTAATGAATTGCCTAGGACCAGTCACGGTCCTGTTTTGGAGATATGGCTACATAAAATTTAGGATAGTATCTATTTAATCAAATACAATAAATGTAATCAAAGACAGGTACAGCGGATTACCCGCTCGAATTCGAGCACCCGTCTGAGAAAGCAATCTTCACCTTACAGAAGACCACAGTAATATCACACTAATAGCACGGTAATAATATCATACAGTATTCTATCTTCATACAAACGGTCGGAAAGTGAGTCATGCCTACGCCACTCGAGTTCGATGTGCTCTCGGCGTGCACCCAGTCGCGAATGCGCCGCAGCGACGACCGAACGGTCTGAATTGTTTTTTATGCAGTTAGCCGTGCTTAAACATGCGTTTTGTATTGTAAATATTTGATTTAATTAAGTAGATACCTACATAATTTAGTATGGAAAAGAACAAACGATTATTTTCAAGGACAGGGCGGAGTCACAATACTGTATAGATAATATTACCGTGCTAATAGGTACCTTTTGATGGTGTTGTGTTTCTGCTGGTGAGTAGGGTTCCAGGGCTCCGCCAGGTAGGGGATTGGGTTCAGGCCGACTAAGTGGGGATGGTTGAAACAACCTAATTACCGCGTGTAAACTAAAAATATTTTGTAACTAGTTCGAAGTGTTGATTTATCTTATCAGTGACAAAATGTATAAACTTGGTTTCAAAGTCCGAATAGAAGTACCTACCTAGTTTCCTACCGCAGAATAAATTAGCATAGAATTACCTATTCCGTGCATTGCGAGTGAGGAGGAGTGACGATAAGCCACTTAGAGAAAATTTGTTTTATTGGTTTGTTTGTTTGTTGGTTGTATCTTTATTATTTTATAATATTAGTTGTCAGTGTTCTTTATAAATGCAGTACACTTAAATGGAAATAATAAATACCTTAGTAATGGGAACATGTGCTTGTTGGAGTATGTGGCTTACTTATACAACATTCACTGGAATATTCGAAATATATTGATAAAAATAGACACTAAATCCGGCAACCCTTGCTGTTTACTAATCGGAATAGTGAGACTCGTGCGTGTCAATCAAAACTTCTAAAAGATACTAGTACCTATTCAAAATTAAAATAGACGGCAAATGGACACATCGGCGTTTTGTATATTTGATTTACCTATGTGTCGTGAGCTGGGCTGAGATTATTTTCATGAATTCATTTTTAAGCGTTTCGACCGTACCCCCGATTCGAAGTACCCCTGTTACAAAGCAATGGTTTTATTTTAACAACTTTTAATTAAAATAGGCTAGTTGACCCTTTTTGGAAAAAGGTTTTAAATGGTTAATAAATGTTCTATTAGAGCGAAAAAAAATGTATTGTATTTTTTTTAAACCTAGAAAGCTACAAATCTGTAATTTTAAAATAGACTTTTCATGGACATACAAAAACGCTGTCGGCCATTTTAGTCTATAGATTGTCTATGCTATGACGTGAACTGTGGTAAACAAAAACTCGTAAACACGTAGAAAATTACTTTTAACTGGTTTTATAATAAAAAAAACATGATTTCTAATAAATACCACGAAAAATAAAGTAATTATCATTACTGTATTGTACGAGAATATAAAAACACATCCTTGAAGACTCCAGGAAAGTTGTGGATAAAAGTACCGAAAGAAATTAACCTACGCAACTTTATTACACTTATTCATATGTTGTATCACTTTCATGTTTATTACTACATTGTAATACTAAATGCACTGTACTTACATAGATGCCTTGTCGTTTCTCTGCTCCGCAGAGCAGAAATCGGGGTTTAGTGTAACAAATTCACCAACTATCAATGCATCAATTCTTGGCAGATTTGTGCTTTCTGCTTTCACAAAGCCGGCATCCATAATTTGTTTAGTCAAAAAAAAACTAAGTTTACTGTTTTTTTCTTTCCTAAAGTTAAAAGTGTTTTAAGATAAATTTAGTCAGACGAAAGAATCCACCTACAGTAACACGCGAATGACATTTAGTTGTTTACCACAAGAGACGTCAAAATCATGGCGAATGTGGCGAACAGCGTTTTTAGTGTTTAAAAAATATAGATTAAAAAATATTTTTTTAAATTAAATTTCTACAGCAATCTTCTGCTTTTATGAAGTGAAATCGATATATTAAGGTTCCTTAAGGCTACCATTCACAGGCGCGCCCATCCGCCGGATTTGTCCGCCCACAAACAAATCCGCGTGTGAATGTATTGGTGAGTGCGGCTCGCGGCTCGGCGCGGCGCTCGCCGTCAAGAGACGCGAGCGCCGCGCCGCACCCCAGCCGCGCCGTACAAATCCGTACGTGTGTGTGCTTGCACAGATTTATCGGTGAACTTGTCAGTCATTTGTAGTGCATGCACGCAGAACGACCTCTTAACTCGTTAATTCTGTATCACGTCTGTATCACTTTTTTGACGTTTATGCGATACTGTTTCAAGTCAAAAAGTTGAACATAATACTCATTTAAGTTGATATCAAGTTAATGGTGTCGATTCTAGCATGATTCTCTAAACCTAAACTTAAATTTGACAGCAGTATATCCTTGTCATTCTCTATACAGAATGAAAAGGAGGGACTGATGTTAAATTTAGATTTAAGTTTAGAGAATCACGCCAGAATTGGCACCAATATCATTTTAAAGAGTTGATCATAATACGCTTAATTTGATGTCATTTTGATATCGAATTTTTCGGAGAGCATAATACGTAATGTGAAATTGACATCAAAAGAATATCACAATAGGCTAGTTGACCCTTTTTGGAAAAAGGTTTTAAATGGTTAATAAATGTTCTATTAGACCGAAAAAAAATGTATTGTATTTTTTTGAGACCTAAAAAGCTACAAATCTTTAATTTTAAAATAGAATTTTCATGGACATACAAAAACGCTATCGGCCATTTTAGTCTATAGATTATCTATGCTATGACGTTTACTGCAGTAAACACATAGAGAAAGGTAAATAAACAAAAACTCGTAAGAAAATAACTGACTTTATAATAAACAAAAGATGATTTCTAATAAATACCCCGAAAAATAAAGTAATTATCATTATTGTATTGTACGAGAATATAAAAACACATCCTTGAAGATTCCAGGAAAGTTGTGAATTAAAAGTGCCGAAAGAAATTAACCTACGCAACTTTATTACACTTATTCATATGTTTTATCAGTTTTATGTTTATTACTACATTGTAATACTAAATACACTGTACTTACATAGATGCCTAGTCGTTTCTCTGCTCCGCAGAGCAGAAATCGGGGTTTAGTGTAACAAATTCACCAACCATGAATGCATCAATTCTTGGCAGATTTGTGCTTTCTGTTTTCACAATGCCGGCATCCATAATTAGTTTTTTCAAAAAAAACAGTAAACGGAAACTTTTCTAAAGTTAACAGTGTTTTTATGATAAATTTAGTCAGACGAAAGAATCCACCCACAGTAACACGCGAATGACATTTAGTTGTTTACCATATGAGACGTCACAATCATGGCGGATGTGGCGAATAGCGTTTTTAGTGTTTAAAAAATATAGACTAAAAAATATTTTTTAAAATTAAATTTGTACAGCAATCTTCTGCTTTTATGAAGTGAAATCGATATATTTGTTTCTTAGGTTTTCACGCACATCACTCATTAAATAAAACTAGTTTAAACGGGATAATGCACGAAACTTTATTTATTTATTGACGTTTCGTAGCCTTTCCAGGCTTCGTCGTCAGAATAAAACTTTTGTTTAATTTGTCGAGCTACCTTCGAAAGACTTTTATTGAGCGTTTGGTTATTTCATCGTTCGATTTTTAAGTTTTATTGTCTATGTATGAATTTATTATTTCATTTACTTAATAAAGTATTTTATTTAAAATTCTTGTTTGTAATTTTTTTTTTTTTTTTTTTTTTTGTTTATTTATTTGACCCTAACTACCGTAAACTACCACCGGTTCCAAAATTGGGAGACCTTCCTGAGAAGAACCGGCGAAACAAACTCAAGAGAGGCTTTCTATCTCCTTCTTATGTTAAATTATGCAAACAAAAAGAACTAATAGTATCTGATGGTCTTGCAGTATGTGCTCGGGGTTGGGATTTTATCTCCTGTATAATAGGTTCCCAAGCTGGTGGTATATACCAACCATCTTCCCTATTGAAATTTGGATATTTTTTAATCTCAATAGCCTCGCGCATCATTCGAGGAACGAAACGCCGCTCAGCTGCAAGGATCTGTGGTCTGTCTGTGGTGAACATGCATTAGGGGGACCAAACCACTACATTAGATTTGATAGACCACAGATCCTTGCAGCTGAGCGGCGTTTCGTTCCTCGAATGATGCGCGAGGCTATTGAGATTAAAAAATATCCAAATTTCAATAGGGAAGATGGTTGGTATATACCACCAGCTTGGGAACCTATTATACAGGAGATAAAATCCCAACCCCGAGCACATACTGCAGGACCATCAGATACTATTAGTTCTTTTTGTTTGCATAATTTAACATAAGAAGGAGATAGAAAGCCTCTCTTGAGTTTGTTTCGCCGGTTCTTCTCAGGAAGGTCTCCCAATTTTGGAACCGGTGGTAGTTTACGGTAGTTAGGGTCAAATAAATAAACGCAAAATTACAAACAAGAATTTTAAATAAAATAC